AAAAATTAAAATTATGTCACGTTTGTATGTTAAATTTTTAAATTAATATTCACATTCGTACAACTTATTGGATGTTGAACACGAATTAAGTTACAGAACCTGTTTTACGTTTAATTATTAACTAAAAATATCATCAGATTTGTTAATAACAACATAACCTATTATTATGGTTATATTATTTGATAGAGTCGTGAAGAATGGCATAGAAACTGTTACCATTGAAGAAAATGGGGTCTTGACTTCAAAAATAGTGAATGGTGTGCACCAAGCTATAAAGACTGATTAGACGCGATTAAATTAAAATATTTTAAAATCATAAATGCACTTGATCCTATTGACGTTAAATTATTTTAAGAAAAGCTCGCATTAAACTTAGCTTTTTTTAATTTTCAGTTTTGTTTTATTTTGTTTTGTTTGCTTGGGAATTAAATATTGTCAGTTTAAGTTTTCAGTCCAAACTGCGAAGTTTTTTCCCAAAAGCTACGTTATTACAATGCTTTTGCTTATTGCCTTCATCGCAATGTATGAATATCTTCAGATTAAGACTAATTTTGTTAGTTTTATATATATTAATAATTACTTTCTATTTAAATTGTTGATATCTTATTGAAAATGGTGCATTAGAACGAGTTCACTAATGATTGCTCTTGAAATAGGGTGCTTTTGAGCTTGCTTCGATAAATATATTTGCTTTGTTCGTTTGTTTGGTTGGTTGGATGCTTGTTGTTTGGTAACATGTTTATGTTCCTTTTTTACTTTTTTTTATAAATTTTTTAACGTTTGATTTTTGTTCCTGTGAGTCTTAGTAGAATTCATAATAGTTTCAATTTGCGTCCGTTCTTAATTTTTTTTTAATTTCTGAGTAAAATCATAACGAAAGTTTAAATAAGTTTTACATCCACAAATCTGGTGCAATCTTTTTCCATGTTAAAATGTCTTAATTTATGGGTTAATTTTTTTCTTGTTTCAATATTTATAGTATCTCTGTGTGTGCATTCCACATTTTATTGTAAATTTTTTAGCATGTGACATCCGCTTCACCGTTCACGTGAAATTTTTTATGTTAATAAAAGCATTAAAAATTGTAATTATTTCTTAATTTTTTTTAAATAATAAAGTTAAAATCCTATTTCTTTTGTATCACGAACAGTAAAAAGCAATTAAAGGAAAAGAAAATTAAAAGCCATTCACTTGAAAATTTGATGTGAAATAAATAGTTCTAAAATATTTATATTTGCCTAGACCAACGGATGGCTGTGTTGTCACCTGGACTTTGGGGGCGGGTAAGGTCTCCAATGTTATTCTTGTAAAGCAAACATTAAATAAATCAGTTTGAGCAGCCGGTCACAATTTTTTAGAGCCAAAATACTAATACCGATGAAATTGCAATCTAACCATGAAAGTTATGATAAAAAAATTCAATTCGTCAAATGTAGCGTTTAACATTAAGATATTTTCGTGTATATCAAACATGGCTAGTGTCGTTTATTAAAATTATTTTTTAGCTTAATATAAGTTTTACGTAAACAATTATTTACGAGTGCTTTCAAGCCCATTACACATTTAAGCCAAATTTATAGTGCATTCATAATAAACAGTAAAAACAAGTTATTTACCCTTATTGATTAGTAGGGATGACTCTTCTCATAAAAATATGTCAAAAATTTTCTTATGGCAGTTTTCATCTGAGCTAGAATATCTCATAATGGGGTGTTGCTTGGTAATAGCAGACACGTTTTGTAGCAAAATATCACTATTCAATCAAAAAACTAATTTTTATTTTCGTCTGTTAACCAATTAAAAATCTACGATCACAGGTTCCACAGACTCACACCCACGTGCCGCTTCATGGGCAACCGGTTTCCGCCGCTTCCTCTTTATATGCACATATACCACTTAGAATACCTACCTATACAGACCCTCAAACGAACGAATCTGGTCTCATTCTTTAGTCTCCATGAACAACTATACATCAAATTTTACAATTTTCACATTTTTACAGTTTATTAATAACTATTCATTCATTTTTTTAGATTTAATTTATTTTAATTATTTTTATTAATTTATTTAATGCATTTACATACTCTTTATGCATATTTAGTATCTTTTTTCTAGTGTACACACGCCGAGTTGATTTGAGATCGTCGTGCTTGACTGGCGTCTCCCTGCATACATATATGTATATACAATGCGGCTCAAAATAATAGGAACGGTCATTTTTTTAAAATCCAAATTAGATGACATTTTTATGGTTCATTTTCATCATTTAAATGCAAAAATTTACGCATTAAAAATTGTTCTTTAAATTTATTTATTCAGATTTATAAAAAATTATTAATTTTGCTATTCATATACACAGTAGAATGGCTAATGCTATTTGTTTATATTGTTTTCTTGACTGATTTAGAATCGATTAAAACTGTTCTTTAGAATGTGTAAAGAAAAACAATAAAATATGGAGCAAAGGTTTCAAACTCTAACATTGAAATCCAAGAAATGCATATGAAAAATCCGTTAAATTACGAAAAACAAAAAGTACTGGGTGACAACAAAAGCTGTTAAAAAGAACCTAGGCGCTTTTAATTCGGAGAACCTCTGAGGGTATTACTAAATTTAAAAATAATTTACAGTTGAATTGCAGTATTAAAAAAGTGCAATTATTTAAAATTTGAAACAAATTTAGATCATTGCCACTTAACTAAATTTATAAAAACTAACTATTGCAGTGAGTTACTTGATTAGTTACAACGGTACGCCAATACGGAAATGCATTCCAGACTTCCTCTCTAATTTTTTTTTAAAAAACCTCTTGTGACCAGCCATCGATAATCATTAGGAACGTTGCTGACTAATGCTAGATTTTCAACTTATACTGTCCTTCAGTGTAGCGACATTACAAAGTGAATATACTTTACTTATATACTTCGAGTGAAGTATATATACTTCAATTTGTTTTCCATTTTTTATTACTTTTCATATTTATTTTATATTTCATTCTCTCATCATCATTACATATTGTTACCATAGTCACAAATATTGTCACCATATTATCACCAATACTTTTGCTCATATTATTTTACTTCTACTAAATTCATCTAATACTTTCCACATTCATAATTTTAGTTTCATTGCCTTGCATGTTGTTACTTTCTTTGCTTTTGATATAGATTGATCTAAAGAATAAAAAAATCCACAAATAAATATAAATGTATGTATATATATATATGTTGGTAATAGACCATAATTTTTACAATATTCTATAAATTCTACCGAATGTTTAGCGTTAATATGTTTGTAGTTCGATTTTCGATTTTTCTCACTAAAGTTTTTTGGTGAACGTTTAGTTTATTAAAATTCAAAATAAACTTATTTTTCGAATTCATGCTGCAAATAAGGCCATTTTTCGATTCCGAATGAATCGTCATCAGTGATCCTTGCTGTATATATAGGGAAATATTCACTTTGTCAAGATGAACTTTGACGTTGTAAAAATTAACTTTGGTGTTGTAAAATTGAACTTTGATGCGAATTAGGTGTCAGGTTTCTTTATTGACTGGTCATCTTCTTTGGTCTCCTTTTCTTCATCGATAGCATCATATTCTTCTTTGTCACTATTTACGATGCTAGTTTTTATTACTTCTTTGTTTTCGTTGT